TTCAAAATAAAAATATGTTTTATATATTAAAAAATTGATTTTGACTGAATTTAAGGTGATTCTGCTTTGTCAGCCATGTTTGTTTTCACTATTGGGTCAAAGTGAAAGTAGGACCAAAATTCATATAACAAAAAAAGTCACATTTGTTATATGATGAGCCATTTTGGCAAGTACACTTCCAGTTCTATGTTTTAAAGACTATTTTTAACAAAAATAAAAAATGATAACAATAAGAAATTTTCCTTGAATGTGCTACATTTCTGAAGACCAAAAACATTCTGTTGCAAATGTTTTATGCACATTTCATGAATGGCAAAATCCTTTTTAAAGTCTGTTTTAGTGCCTACAAAAGCTATTTTTTGCAGAAAATACAAAAAACTTTAAAAAATATAAACCTTAGGAAAGTAGTTTATCTGACCTTGAAAAAACATGGCCACCATGACATGTGTAAAAAAGTAGTACCATGAAAATAAACATCATTTACCTATCTCTTGTGTACATGACAAACAGACACACTTCACTGTTACACATAAAAAGGTTAGATTTTAAAGTTTGATGGTATTTTTATTTTAATAGTAGTTCATAAGGCTATAAATGATGATTGTTTTCTTGCACTACTTTTTTTACAAAAAATAACGGAGGCCATGTGCTTAGAAGGACATCAGATATGTATTTATTTGGAGTTAAGTTTTAAAAGATTTTTGTATTTGCTGAAAAAATAGCTTTTGTAGGCACTAAAACAGACTTAAAAAAGGATTTTGCCATTCATGAAATGTGCATAAAACTTTGCAACAGAATGTTTTTGGTCTTCAGAAATGTAGCACATTCAAGGTAAATTTTCTTATTGTTATCATTTTTATTTTTGTTTATATTTGTCCTTAAAATATAAACCTGGAAGTGTACTTTCAAATGCTTCATCATTTTACAATAAGAGCTTTGTTGTTATATGAATTTTGGCCTACTTTCACTTTGGACAGACTTTGTTAAAACAAACATGGCTGACAAAGCGGAATCACCTTAAATAAACAAAATATGTGTGCAAGCTCTGACAGTTATGGATATGAGACTTTCAAGTGCGATGTGTCGCATCAAGTGAGGGTCTGAAAATCAGTATGTTGCAAATTGTTTCAACAATGCATTTTGGAAGGATTATATTTTTCTTGTAAACATCAAATTGAAGTGAAATGACTCATTTTTTAACAATTTGAAAAAAAAAACCCACCGAAAATAGTAAAAATGCACAAAATTAAGTTGCTAGAACGTTTTACCCCAAGATATTACCTTATGTATTTCTTTCCGTAAATAATCTGCCAATTTTATCGTGGATGCGAACATGATCCTAAACCTCCCTTTGGCTAAAATAAAAAACCATTCACAGAATTTGATTTTGAATAAATAAAAGTTATAATATTTATTCAAATGCGAGAATTTGACACGGTGCTGGTGTCATAGGCAAGTGCGAAAGAAGCCCCCTCGAAAAATGTGATGGAAACTCACAACAACCATTCAAGAAGTGTAGAGAATTGTGGAATTATGCCGATTAATATTCATGCATATACTAAAAAAGAAATCTCCAAATGCATAGATACTACCGTAGGTTCTTCAGTAATCCAAGTAGTCTAAGTGTACTTTCGCTATATATTCTTTAGTTCCAACTTTATTTGTCATCCAAGAAAACGCTGTATTTCTTAAAAATTCTGTGCGTTAATTTTCAAAGAAGAAAAAAGTCGATACTATATTTAATTCCGTTCATAGTCGACTTCTATTTTTCAAAGTACTTCATAGAACCGCATAGTGACGTATTTAAGTGAGTGATTATAAGGCCAAATATAGCTTGACACTAGGTATGTTAGTATTCATCCGTAGCTGTTCTACAGAAATTAGAAACGTTCTCCTTTCGCTATCGCTCCCGTCCAAGTTTTTTATTTCTGTAGAACAGCACGAATGAACACTAACATATACACAAAATGTGCTATTTTCAAAAACTTCATCATCACTAATTATATTACTTTCAAGAGCAAATTTCAATGTTATTTTAAATTGTTTCCTAGATGTCAAATGTTTTTTTTGTTTTTTTTTTCAAAATAAAGTGTCTTTAATCTAGATTGTTTGATTTGCTTTTTGGTCATTGAGTACGTATTCTTCCTATTCTTTCGTTTTGATATGAACATCAAACTGTTAAATCGGCGAAATTTGAGAAAGATGTTCTTCTTGATAACATTCTCCGACTTTTGAAAAACAAGTTAAATCGGATAGTTAAAAAACTATTATTACCCTTTTCAGCTTAGTTTTTGTCGAGAGCTTTACAACGAAAGTATCGAGGACTCTCATTTAAATAAGAAAGACCAGCGTATATTATCTCCCTGGGTGTAATAAGTCTTTTATAAAATTGCTTTTTTAGGATTTAAGCAACATTTATGTGATATTAAATGCACATGAAACTGTATGATCGAATCATCCTTAAATGACTAAATCCGTGGAGCTTTAGAGGGCTTCGACCCCTGAAGCCCACCAAGGCTCTGTCCTGGACCTGCAAGAGGGCCTACGCGGCCCCCTTGACCTCCTGCGTGTACATTTGTGCGTATACTTAATATTGCCCTAGGTACGCCCCTGACAATGTAAAGGAAATTTTACTCGCCTCATATTTCTGAATTATGATGGTCACGATTGTTCATTTGTATGTATATATGCTTATTGTTAAAGATCCTGTAACACAATTTTTTCATGGTTTCATTTCATAAATATGATGCTCAAATTAAGATTTATCAATATTGTAAGTTCCAATAAGCATTATTTATAAAGATATTACCCAATTTAACATTTCATGTAAATAAAGGGAGGTAATTAGAAATACATTTTCTATGAATTCTAAGTCAATTTTCCAATAAGAAATGAATGCCTGTAATTTATTGATTAAATATAATGTGCAAAAATATTTGCAGTACACATTTTACATATTCTTCAATGTTTGAAAATTGTTTTATTTGCATAAATATGTACATATATAATTTTTTGCTAGTGTGGTATTCATACAGTAAAAATATCAATCACAAAACATACAGGATCTTTGTCGGTGTATTGGCTAGTGGCCTAAAACATCTTAATAAATGATTGAATCAAACATATAAGATACAACGGCTGTGAAACTTACTGGGCGATAGCTTGAATGTTTAGTTCTGTTCACTTTATTGTAGATTGGTGCAATGTTACGTTGTTTCCATTCTACCGGTATTTCATGCGTACCTGACCAATGATTGCGGAAACGACTTTCTATTACATGAGAAATTTACAGTAGTCTTTTATGCAGTTAGAAATTAACCCTCTTTAATTGTTGTAAAGATTCTCCTTAATTGGTACATTACTTATTGAGGTATTCATAACAAAATACCGAGCAGATTTGTTTAAAGGGCATTTCAGGTTTGTTATATGCACTTTCGGCTATACGTTCATTATGTTTCAGGGATTCAATACTCATACAATCTGATTACTGATTTAAGGTAAAAGGTTTCCAATTTTAGCCTTGTTACAGTGTCTATGTTTTTTCCTTATCATATGTTAGATATTTCTTGACAAACTTAGAACATCGGCCTTCCCTTTTAATGTTTTCGTTGAAATTTGTTTGTTTTTGGGGTTTATTAATATGGTTATGCTTAAATGTTGACTCATTAGAGTCCATAGATTTTTATAAGGTACTTCTAAAACATAATTGTCTTTTAAAAAGCATAGATAATCATTTACGTTTCATCAATTTTTATACTTTCTCAATTCGCTTCCTTGAGTCATATATAATTCTAGGTGTTTTCTTGTTAGTGACAGGTTTTTTTGTGTGTGACGAGACTGCTAAAAGTCCAGTAGACATGCAGATAGAGTTGAGTTTATTCAAAATATTTTTTTTTTTTGCATCGCTCAATTGTTACGATAATGTTTCCATGTATTTAATGTAATTATCGTGCATCATAATCATGTATAATAATTTAATCAAAAAATCAATCAAAAATTGACATCTCGTTCGGCTCTGACTCAAGTTGTTGGCCCTGGTAAAATGAAACGCATACCCAAACATGTTGAATTGGTTAAATATAATTGATATGAATTGAAAAGACTAAATGATAGTTTTCAGGACGATGGTATATCATAAGTGTCATATTGTGGGATTTCTTTTATATATTACATTTCATTTTGATCCGGATATAATACAGTATAGGAAAGCCCCACTGATATAACTAATATAATACTTATGATATTTACATATTTTTTTCTGTACCGGCAGCCAGTGTAATATTCTTATATTCTTGCTTGTCAGACAGGATTATCTACTGTTTACACCGGTGCTAGAATAATAATATCTATCATATGTGAGACATTTTTTCTTGCATATTCTGCAATATTATTTCATATTTAAAATGGTTAACCTCAATATGATACATGTTCATGGAAATTAAAGTCATTTCAGTCATAATTATTTCCTTAAAAAAGTGTATGAACTTACAACTTAAAAAACAACGGCGAAATGACGTCATCCTAAGTACATATTTCTCTTCTAAAACGACGTCATTTTAATGCGGCTCATTCAAAAAGTGCGCTAAAATGACGTTGCTGTTTGGCACGCGACTCATCTGGCACCCCCCCATGCCAGATGAAATTTCTGGCATGGGTAAAACTCACGGAAACGCCAGTCTGATATGCAAGAAAATCCTGCCTTACACACCCATGTAAGCCAAGTTGCGTGTTTTAAATGACGTCATTGCCGCGCGCCTTTTATGAATATGATGACGTCATTTTACCGTTATGAATGAAGTTGTAAAGTCATACGCTACTATAAGAAATTAGTGCGTAATGAGAATATCAGTTTTCGTAATTCCCTGTTTTGAAAATAATTGATATGTAATATGCAAGAAAGAGAATCAAACACTGACTGTCGGTACATACCGGAATATTTAGCTCTCGGGTAACTGTTTAGCGGAAACCCGACAGAGCCTCGATACCGCCGTAAACATTAGCCCTCGGGCAGCCAGTGTAAGATTCTTATAATCTGTAACAATTTTATGTAGCTAATATAGGCTATTGAAGTAATTTATACCGATTAATAAAGCACCTGCGTGCACTTCCGTTGCCCGGGTAAACAACATTTTGATAAGAAATTAATTAATGATATAATGTAACTGAAAATTTCACTTTTGAACCTAATAAAGAACGCAAGCTATTGCGTACAATAATAATCATGGCGACTGGACATATTTTACCGGGTTATGGCAACCCAGTTACGCGTTTAAGGAGAGCGCAATCGGCATATCCGATGGACAATAAAAAGTTACATGAATTAACTGCCAAACATGTTCCTGATATGGATCCAAGAACTTTAGACCACATAAGACAAAATGCAAGAAACATGTGGCTACGCCCCCGTTATGAACCGACAACATATAACACGTTTCATGCTGGTGACCAACTTGACGAACCAATAGAGTCGATTCCAACTGAACCACTGAGGCGTCATAAACCACATCCTAAACCGTGAGTACATGTCATCTGTTTCATTGCTTTGATTTAAGGTAAATAGATCAAGGGAACAAATATCTTGATCTCTTACATATCATTGTACTGGCATGCGAGCAGTTCCCGTACAGAAGCAGTACCCGTATTTTTCATTTAAACGCTTGATTTTTACTTGCATTCTTCAAAAAATCATTTCAAATTAAGCAGGTACATAAACAAGACAAAATCTAAGTGTCAGTTCGGTAGTACGTATAAAAAGTCTCATTTTAAATCGCTTTCACCTGTGCGTCGTCAAAACGTGACCTTGTTTTCTCTGGGGGATTCCGTCCTTGCGCGCATGCGCAAAAATACTTACACATGAGGCTTGTTAAAGGGTTTTCCACTAATACCACCTGTTTACAGATAAGTAGGCAATGTGATGAAAACTTGTTTAATTATCAGAATTTTGGCCAATATTACTATATAAAATAATTTTATGGCTTTGATGCGTAAAATATCATGCATACAAGCATACTATTGCATGTGAATGCATTGGGGTAACGGTACCGGGTAATAGATACCCGCGTTTAGTCTACGCTCTATTTCCTGAATTACATCTATTTATCTCTTAGATAATGGTCTGTTCAACAATTGTAAATGAAAAATAGGTCCAATATAATAAAATTATATAATTACAATGGGTTAGATTTTATGTACGGGAACTACTTCTCTTCATACAAAATAATGGATAATTTCGGTACCCCATTTGAGGCCTCATAAGTAAGGGTTATTCTATGTTTAGAACATGATGGAATTTCCATGATTTGTGTTACGAGCCGAATATTGATGTGTTACATTTAAATTTTGGTGAGTGATCGTAATAAAAAATAATGTTTAAGTAACTATGATTTTTGTACGGGAACTGCTCGCATGCCAGTACAGTATCTTAGGTTGTGAAGAACATACTTCAATATGAAAACATGTTCTAATCTCCATCCTAGCTGAAGCAACAGTACGCTCACCGCGGGTTTTGCTTTTTCCGCGATACCACTGCGGACAATTTTTTTTATCGCGGACAAACGCGGGGGTTCGTCCGCGATGAAAGCCTAATTTCCCGCGCGATCCCCGGTGTTCAGTTGTTTCCACCGCGGACAAAATTCTGACGATCGTTCTTCATTCGTCTATAAAATCATTCACCCATTTCCCGCGGGGGAACGCCATAGTCAGTTGGTCAGTATATATTAACCTCCAAAAAATAATAGACGTTTTATTATTTTTTAACATCATCTTTTTTACACAATGTCTTGAAAATTGACCACAATCTTCTCCTTAAATGTTATTATACGTTAAATTTTTTGAACGGAATTTGAAACCCATTAAAACAATAATAATTAGGCTGCTTTTTACAAATTATAAAATTACATTATTATCCTCAGAATTAATTTCAATGAAAACTTAATATAATAAATACAAGAAAGCAAAGACAATTACGTTCAATTGTATGTACTTAAAACTACTTGTTGTCTACAAATACTATTATTTCTATGAACAATAATATATTAAGATAAAAATAAAATGAAATATTTTTAACTTGAAAATTGATCGATGGAAGTTCTTAGAAAATAACTGCCATGTGCTTGTTTGCCTTATATACATGTATGTACATGCATTCTGTTCATAATAAAATAACAAAAAGTATAACGTCAAGCTTAACAAAATTCAGCAAAAAAAAATCTATAAAAAAATAAAAAAGAACAAAAAACAAACAAACTTCTAAAACAAAAATGAAAATAAACTTCAACAGTTGATACAAACTTCAAAACATATACATTACGCTCACACCTGTAATTAGATAAATCGAGAATATCATTTAATGTATATTTTGGTGAAATAAACGCTTTCTTTTAATGTTCCAAATAAAATATAAGACTTTATGATCAACATGCAAATAAACAGAAACAGTAAAACGCATCTGATAATTGAAAGAGACGTCCTGGAATAATGCCTGAATAAATTGTTGAGGGTTACGTTTTCAAAGTTTTTAAATATTAGAAACAAAAGCTGGCATATAAATTGTTGTAGTATCTTTTTCATAAATGTCATATGCCGAATCTTTCATTATTTGACTTCAAGTTTCTCACTACCATGAAGTTGCGACGACAATGATTTATCTTGATGTCGAATACATATTATACATTACCCAACACAAAAACAAGAAGAAGAACAAGAAATACACTGCATTTGTACATGTACTTTTATTACAACAAAAAAGAAAACAAAAAAACAAATTTTACATATAGTTATATGTACAGTACATGTTACAGTACGTACATATACTGATGTTTAAATACAGTAATTAATTTTTAAAAATTTAAGGTTTCCACCGCGTTGACCGGTGTTTGACCGCCGCGTTCCTCCGCAATTTACCGCTGCGTTCCGCGGGGGAGACGGTTTCAGTCGATGATTTATGTCCGCGGTGGTGAAAATTTTCTGTCCGCGGGGTCACGCGGACAATATCTGAGCAAATTTTCGTCCGCGGTAAACCTCATCCGCGGGGTCACGCGGGTTTTGCAAAAGCCGCACTGAGCGTACTGTACGTGAACTTGCAAATTGCAGTTGCATCCCTTGCAAAAACACATGTCTGATAATATCAAAAAGGTCAAAGGTCAACAGACTGTTATTTAATTTCAGACTATAATTACATGAGTAGTGTTACTAAAATGCTGTGTGCTCAGTAACTCTTGAATGGAAATCACAACAATACAATCATTATAGGCTTCTTAGTTGTACAATATTCCTGTAGTACTTGGATTTGCAGGAAACAGAAGCTGCCTAAATATCCTCACCAGAAATGTAAATTATAACATTCCCCCATTTTGAACCAAGTACATGTACTAGCTACTGTAACCCCTTCTTCTTATAATGGTCAAATCAAAATCGAGCCTCAGAATATTTTCTGAGGGACTGGCTATCAGGTCACCCTGTTAATCTATCTCTGCTTTAATAATATTTTACTGTGAATACTGTACTTTTACTTTTATTGTAACAACATTCACTTTTAATAACAAACTGCTCTCCAGTTGCTGGTATTTCTTAGCAAAATCCAGTTGTACTTGTAGTGGAAAGTCAGTCTAGACTATGCTATAACTTAAAGTAAGTTACACCACTCGAAGTATCATGTAAGGTGCCACATACACATAACATGGAGGTCATAGCTTTCATTCAGTAGTGTTAAGGGCACATGTTTCATTTTATCGCACAGTAAAATTGGGATGTCATAACAGAATATAACTGCGCTGACTGCCAATTTAATTTTGATTGCTGATCCATTATAGTCAATAATTTGATTATCTAAATGCAGTCTTCATTTGTATCATAATTTCTTTCTAGAGTCATTGTTTAAAATGCACCAATCAAATGTACACGCATGGCCTCAATCCTTAAAGCACTGAGGGGGATGGTTGTCGAAACACGCTTATATAAGGGAAAAGGTTAATAGCAGGAGCTGGTTGTAGTGAGGACTGCACATTTTGACTGTCCTTACATTGCTGAGCCTTCACCGGTTAAGGCTCTGAATATCCAAAAGTCAAAGTCCCTGCTTTTCCTCCAGTGTTTGGTAGTTATGTTTCAATTAACACAGGTTGTCTAATAATTACTGTATAAAACATTTCTTGAATGGAATATTAGAGACTTCAAGTAAAGTTAGATGATTATTATACACTTATTTATTAATCCTTTCAAAATGTCAATTTGTATGCATTCAGTCTTTTATAAGATCAACACTTAATATACCAGTCTTATTTTATTACCAGAATATATGCAAGAAACATATGAAATATTAGGCAGGTATGAAGGTAACAATGTTGTTTCACATTTTTTGACATATTTATTGTTTGCACAGCCTCAAAATTTTTCTAGAAGTTGAAGGTGTAATTGTGTCTGAGTATTATATGTTTAACAATTTACAAACTTTTATGTCATTAGGGGATTCAAGAATTGAAAAACAGTTTTATTCCATATATTGTACCTGCTTCCAACAGGATAATTTTAATATTATGACGAAAACAGTTTTTGTCTATAATATAATTGAGAATTTGCTTCTTTTTATCGTTTTATACATGTTAGATATATAAAAGCAGCCATTTAAAGGAACCCATATATATATAAAACAAAATGGTTATTTATGTAGTCACAAAGAAACATGTAGTCAGCTTGAAAAAAAATGCGGTCTTTTACACAATTTGGATTGTAATATTTTGGAGTTATGTGACCAAAAAAAAAAAAAAAATACATATTAAAAAGTATACCACCTAACCAAAAAACATTTAATTAATTTGGTTAGAAATTAATTCTAACCCAATTAATTAAATGTTTTTTTGGTTATATGTATAAATTTTATTATACATTAATTGTCTGGACTAGAAGTTCCTATACTTTGATTTTTACATCTATATATATATTGTTGCTAATGTCAGATTTATCGGATAGGACATGCAATTTAAAGGGAAATAAATTTTCAAAAAATATAAATTGATGTTGGTTCATAATCAATAGCTTTAATACATTAAATATTAATTACTTTAATATTAACTTTATATCCAAGTGTGACCATGTGAGAAAATATTATAACAAAACATGTTCTGTTTGTTTTACTGGCCTTATATTAACTTAATCATAATATCTAAATATTGATATAATGTTTAAGCAGAATAACAAGTCAACCAAGTGGTCACATTAATAATTATTGTACATTTTTATACAAAAAATTGTATATAAAATAATATGAAATTCTTGATACTTGTATAATCTATTAAGTTTTATTCAAATCTTCTAAAACGAAATATCTATATAGGTTTAGGATTTTATTCATGTCATTTGTTTGCTATTGTGACAACCTCAACACTTTGTTTACTTTATATCTTATTTTTATGGCTTGATCAACACTTTAAACTATAATAAACAGAAACATTTTAGATCAATTTTTGATATAATGTGAAACAAGTGATTGAAAAATACATCAACAATATAACACAGTATGCTGTGAATAGAATTTTTTCATAAAACCAATTAATGCATCCATGTGAATAGATATTGAACTGAGATGTATAAACATATTATACAACTGATGTATTTCACAACAAGCAATTAATGTAATATCAGTTGTATTGAATTTAGATGAAATGTATAAGCAACCTGGTTCGATATGCAATGATATTATTTATTGATACAATAATATTTCTTTAAGATAAAACATACAAGAATGCAACCTTTGATTTTTTTTCTGTATTTTATATACGGTAAATATAAGCTGGTAGACAATCAATAAGTGTCTCAAGTTTGATTTTATTGACATACTTTAGGCGCATCTGGAGACATGCTGTTTCAAAAATTGAAAATAACAATATGCATGTACCATTCTGAATGTAAAATGGTGAGAAAAATGTAAAATAAAAAAGAATCTTGGCAATGGAATGCAAACAGATGTCAATTTCCTTTAATGTATTTTTGGATGCAAGCAACAATCTAAATGACTGTATGATGTCACCAGTGTAGAAACCCTATCAGCCTTGTAACACATCATTGTAGGAGATGAGTACATTTGACTTTAATTATAAACTTTTGCAATACACCGCAAAACTATTGTACAGTAATCTCCTAAACTGCAATCTCAGCCCTTTTAAAATGTAATGTTTAGGGGTAAATTCAGCAAGGCGTTATAAGGGAATAATTTATCTAGACTGGTATAATTATGTTTGTGTTTTGCATTACGGTAAGTTAGTTAACAGATGCTGAAGAGACTATTAAATGTCTCTGGATGCTGTAAGTAGATGTATAACTATATAATTTATTGTGAGGGTATTAAAGATATATAATTGAGCCGCGTCATGACAAGACCAACATAATAGGTTTGCGACCACCATGGATCCAGACCAGCCTGCGCATGTGTGCAGTCTGATCAGGATCCATGCTGTTCGCTATCAGTTTCTCTACTTGTTATAGGATTTGTAAGCGAACAGCATGGATCCTGATCAGACTGCGCAGATGCGCAGGCTGGTCTGGATCCATGCTGGTCACAAACCCATTATGTTGGTTTTGTCATGACGGGGCTCATATGTAGATAGTTTGATGTGATTGAAGTCTGGCACATAATTGTGTGCAATAAGTTAGTTAGAATATACCAGCACCATTGCTTGTATTTTATTAAGTTTTCTAAAAATTCATATTTCAGTCTTTGCTATATTAATATTGTTTTTGATATTTATTGCACACTATATTTCTATCAATGTCCTTTATTGTACAGCTAATGCTATATTACTATTACATAATATTTCATATATTGATATTGAGGGAAATTATTTGATATTGGACTCAGACTTTAGACAGGCTTAAAATTTCAGTTGTAAATACTTATTAATTGTGTTTTAATGTCTTATAAGTTTATTGATCAAATAATAATTATAATTATTTTCTTTTAACATTTATCCTTCTTTAGATTATTATTAGATAAATATAGTGTGGTGTGAGGAATGAGTACCATGTTTTAATTTGAATATTTCTTAACTTTCTTATTAAACTAAATAATATCATTATACATGTATAAGTGTGTTTTTCAGTATAGATTTAATTTGTTTTGTTATATTGTTGTTTTTTTTTGCATGTACATTGTAAATTTATTATTACAATTTTCAGAATTTGCGTTGTTCATCTTATTATCTTTTTAATTTTTTTAAGGCACTTTTTGATAAAAACATACAATTTTGGATTTGTTTTTTGTATTGTGCTGCAAGCACACTACAATGGACTTTTTTAAGTAGAGAAATTTTAGCCAACTAGATTGCCTAATTCCATGTTTAACAGTCTATTAAATGCCAGTCAGGCTCTAATGACATTTACAATAACCTGTTTATACCTGAAGACACAAGCCTCTGTCACCAGTGTAGAGCCAGGCCAGTCTAGTCTGCATTTCTGTGTTATCTGAGATAGCTAAGTTTCTTGTTGTTGTTTTTTTGTATTTTGATATTGAAATGCCTTAAACTTTGAATGGAATGTTCTAAATTCAAAGCTGGACAAAGTTTTTACACAAATTCAACATGTTGAAGGTTAAGAATGACACTTTCTTTGAGGATCAAAATATAAAATTCACTTTTGGACTATCAAAATTATGACCAAATAGCACATTATTTGCTGACATTTATGTAGCATATTTTCAATGTAAGTACATGTAATTGTGTACAAGTAATTCCTCAACTATGTACTTGTATTTTACAGTGTGTTCCTGATCAATAGGTTACATTATGTACCAGGGTACCACAATCCTGATACTACCATGGGCAAACCTGTTTACAAAAGTTAGTATAATCATAATTCTTAGAAGAATAATGCTGTGAAATTTCTCTTTAGATAGATAAATGTGTCTTTCCCTGTCTTACAGAAAGCAACATTTAAACTATCATTTTATGTTTACTAAATTTATTTTCATTAAGTTACTTTGAAAAATATTTTAATATGTTAATGAAAATGAGCATATTATAAAGCCATATTTTATAATGGTTGATAAATGTATCAAACAGCATGCATTTTAGTATATATGATTAAAAAAAGGTATGTATGTATATAACTTTTGTTCAATGTCCATAGTCAGTGAATACTTAAGAAAAAGATGTGTAAATATTGTAGTTGATGACACATTTTCTGATGAAGAGCGTCAGTTAAGAAGACACCAGAGGGAGAAATATGTAGCAAGACCCAGAACACCAGCTGTTGATCAATACACTGAACCCTGGGTAAGACATTTTTCTTCAAAAAAACAGTCAAACAGAAACCTAAAAGTTTGCTCAACACTCATTACACTAAAACTGTCAAATGGAAGCCTTAAAGTTGGCTCAACACTCATATTACTTTAAAACAGTCAAAATGGAAACCTGAAATTTTGCTAAATACTTCATTTGATTATATGGCAGTATTAAATGCAAGTCAGTGTTTCATTTAAGATGGTTTGATTTAATGTTAAACTTATACAGCCATGCTTTGAACAAAATTAATGTTGAAAGACCATTGTAAAATGGTTCACTTAGTACAATAAAAAAACATACAGATAACTTAAGAATATTTTTCTGAAGATAAGTTATAGATAGTTATTATGAATAAATAAATATAAATACACCACACCTCAGCCTCTCTCATTAATTTTATAGTTAATTTTATTTTAGGCACAACTTACTGACGCAGTAGGACCAGTAGAAGCATGGGGTGCTCAAGCTTGGCTTAAAGTAGCTGATGAGGATCGTAAGTACTGTAGACTTCTATTTTCTATGTAAGAATAAAAGTACATTTTTCAGCAGTTTTGGAGTCATACCAGTATACTAAAAAGTGATAAATTGTAACAGTACATTTTGTACTTTTAAATTGCTGTCTTTGTAAATACTGAGCAAAAGGAAGAAAGTTGTTAAATTTGTTCACTCATTTGAATATGTTTTCAAAAAGGCTTAATTTAAACAGAGGTTGAGTGTTCAGGATTATTATGCCCCCGCCATAAAATGGCTGGGGCATATAGTGTTATCATGTTCCGTCCTTCCGTCATTCCATCATCATCAGTTCCCATTCATTATCTCCCCAACGGTATTTCACATTCAACTCAAATTTGACATATGGATATTGACATATGGATATGTCAAAGGAATGCGCAGGTCAAGTTCGAATTTGGTCATGGTTCAATGATTTTTGACAGAATTATGCCCCTTAATATGAAATTTTCAGTTTCCATTCATTATCTTTGCAACGGTATTTCACATTCAACTCAAATTTGACATAATTATAGATATGTCAAAGGAATGCACAGGTCAAGTTCGAATTTGGTCATGGTTCAATGATTTTTGGCAGAATTATGCCCCTTAATATGAAATTTTCAGTTTCCATTCATTATCTCCCCAACAGTATTTCACATTCAACTCAAATTTGACATATGGATATTGACATATGGATATGTCAAAGGAAAGCGCAGGTCAAGTTCAAATTTGGTCATGGTTCGATGATTTTTGGCACAGTTACTGTATGCTCCTTTCACTTTGAAAATAGTATGAAATTTTCAGTTTCTGTTCATTATCTCCCAACAGTGGTACACATTCAACTCAAATTTAATATATGGATACATCAAAGGAATGTGCAGGTCAAGTTCCAATTTGGTCATGGTTCGATGATTTTTGGCAGAGTTATGCCCCTTCCACTTTGTAAATAATATGAAATTTTCAGATATCGTTCATTATCTCCCCAACGGTATTACATATTCAACACAAATTTGACATATGAATATGTCAAATGAATGGGCAGATCAGGTTTGAATCTGGTTATGGTTTGATGATTTTTGGCAGAGTTATGCCCCTTAAACTTTGAAAAAAAATCAGAAATTTTTAGTTTCTGTTCATTATCTCCCCAGTGGTTGTACACATTCAACTCAAATTTGACATATAGATACATCTTAGGAATAAGCAGTTTATGTTTGAATTTGGTCATGGCTCAATGATTTTGGACAAAGTTATCTCTCTTGAATGTTGGAAACAAATTTTGAATTTTCATTTTCAGCACTCAATTACTTTTTTGGAAATGTCATCATTATTTTGAGTGTTCGTCAAATATGCACTATACAATTTACAAAAGGTTAACACTAAATTGTTTCAGTGCCTTGAACTTTGTATAAAAATGGTTTGTGTTTACACAGAATAATTTTAAGGGCTTTGAACTTAAAATGAAAAAAAAAAGTTTGTGCAAACAAATTTGGAATTAATATTACAACATCAGAAATTTTGGTTGCATGCGGGGGCATCCATGGTCAGTAACGACACATTTCTAGTTTACTAAAAACACTTGAACTGTTTTACATAAGAAACACTAGAAAACTATAAATTTGTTGAAATCTTCATTAACTATACCTTATATATAGGTATCCAATATTTTAGAAAAGTTGCAATCTCAAAAGTAAGGACAATAAGCTTTAGAATGCATATATCCATGAAATATAAATATACACTCTGAAAGCTTTTATTTTGTTTCTTTAAACTAATATGGCCTTGTTTATACAGCTATTATAGGATGTTATTTGATGTTTGTTCACAGTTAATTAACTGTTTTTGTTATAATTTATATAGATCAGCATGAGGTTGTCAATGCAATAAGAGACTACAAAGATAAAGAACTTTTTAACATTTCCAGGGTAAGTGGCTTCTTAATTGAGTTAATTAAACAAGTAATACTTTTTTTAGCAAAAATGAGAGGGCTCCTGTTCAGATTTTTTATAGTTTACATTATTTTTTAAAATCACAAAATGGTAAGGTATAAATTACAATAATATTTTACAATAATATATGCCCTGGTGATAGGGAAATATGACATTGAGCTCATATAACTTATAATGATTCCATTAAAATAATCACTGTGCATTTGTAGCTAATTAAGAATTATGTAGAGATTAATAAAGTAGTGCTGTTTTGTTAAAGTTACTAAGTTACTAAGATTTAGAAAAATTGGATACAAATTTAGCTTGTGCACATCCATTGAACTGATTGATATATTTATCTTACTTTGAACAGGTAATAAATTTTCTTGATACATTATATATTTTATCATGATCCTATCATTTAAGCAATTATTTTAATTTTCAAATATCACTAACTCATTGACATTTGTAATTTTAATATGTTCTTTGTTTATATTAGTATTATCAGTCAATAATGTAACTGCATGTACATGTATTGGAAATAACTTACACATTTATGTTCACATTTAATGGAGACTTGAAAACGGCTTTGGTATTTTTAAAACAGTATAGATTAAGAAATTACTTCTAATATGTTTTAAAAGCAGGTAAGTAAAAGTGGCAAACATTTTCCCTGTACATTGTATTTCTACATTTTACCATGTAAACATAATATTTGTGTGTTTGCCTTATTTTCAGATCATAATAAACAATATTTTGTTGGTTTATATTGATATACTTGTATTAGATTTCATCATCACTTTTTTATTTTGTTGCAACTTTTATTACATCTGGAACCAGATTTTCTAATATAGATATGTATAGAATTTCTGGGTGATATAATGATTGTTTTATACATGATGTAATGACATGTATATATTTTTTTATGATTTTAAAAGAGTTCAAAAGTTCCAATTGAAGGAGTGAAAGTTGAGGAGCATGCTAATGTTGAGAATAATGTTGAGGATATTAACATAAAAGCCAACAACCAAAGCAAAGCTGATCATATAGAGCACCAGAAAACTGCATCAAAACCTGATATAAATGTTCAACCTGGACACGGAAATCAGAAATTTCTGAACACTCTTGCACAAAGATTTGCATCAGCTAATATTGGAGAAAGAACCCAAACAAAGGATGATGATGTTGAAGCACTGCAAAGAACAGGGCAAACATCTGATAAGAAATGCCATACAAATGGAATACTACAAAAAAAGAAGTCAACATTCCCTTTAAAAGTTTCAACATCTGTAAAGAAGGGTGTAAAAACTTTAGATAAATCTGAGATAGACAAAATCATCTGCCATATAAACAACAAAGTATACCGTGGAGATAACAAAAATAATGACACTCTCACCGCACAGCAAAAAGTTTCATTCAAGAGTCCTGTACAAATATTCAGACCAAATTCTGCATATGTTAATAAATATCGGGGTAATGAAAGTGAAGTAAAGAGCAAAACAACAAGTGAGAGAAGTAAGGAAGACAGTGACCAGAGTAGTCCCCAACCTGATAATAGCAGCATGGTGTTGAACTCTCAGGTGATACATCTTGTGGCTAGATGGATCAATCCCATGTTAGTTTAGTTGTTAGTTCTGATGATTTTTTTTATGTACCCATCTTTCTTTTTAATTTGTTATTTATGGATTCATAGCTGTAGAATAGATATCAGAAACCAGTCTGAAAACTGAATAATCACATTGGTTGATTTTAATACAGTAAGTGAAGTTGACCAATCAGATGCTGAGGTTTGAGACTGGTCTTCTGTCTTTAGTTTTGTAACATAGGCCATTATAAATGTCTGAGCTAGTTTTGTAGATTTTATGTCTATATGTTCTCTGTCATTTATTTAAAACTGCATTAATTTCAAACAATATTTGAATCTTCAGTTTTTCCTCCTACTATATTGATATGAGAATTTATATTTTGAATATTTCATTTAATTTTCTATTTGTTAGAATTAATTTCCATTATGTATTCAGATACTCAGCTTATGAAATTTTTGTTTTAATACTTTTTAAAGGGTGAACACTTTCAAATCATTATATTTTACTTTATCTCTATCATCATACATTTTCATACAGTATAATTATTAATAGTAAGGTTGCTATCAGTTAAGGTGTTGTTTTGGATTTCTTTTAAGTTATTTGCTTAATTAAGCCTATTCAGTAAACTACAAGAAAAGTTCAAATTTTGTATATATAGGCTTCTGGACATTAGTGAAGTGCCTTTAAGACTCACAGTCATAATTTTCAGGTCAGCAAATTTAACAATCATCCAATGTCTACGAGATCATTAATGAATTTCTGACTTGTTTTCATTTGTTATTGTTACATTATTTTGGGTTTAATTTGATTTTGATTTATATATTCTCCTGTTACGTAGGATGTAAAGGCTTTATTCCTGTGCAATTTGCAATTTAGCTAAAATTTTGTAGGTTAGAATACCATTCTTGAAATGTATTTTCATGTATAGAATGATATTATGAGCCGCGTCATGACAAAACCAACACAGTGTGTTTGCGACCAGCATGGATCCAGACCAGCCTGCGCATCCGCGATAATTTTCTTTCAACCGTCTCTATCAGAATTTCCTTAAAACATGCCCCCAACTCAATCTGTCATACCTGAACTATCTCTCTGTTCTTTTTTCTTTATTTTAATTTCTTAACTAGATCTGTCATTTGAGGAGTAGACAGGAATAATGTATACAACATTTTTTAAAGATTATCCTTTCCTGTTTGATGATTTCATTTAAGATTTCTGGTCTTTTCTTAGCTTTAAAGCAAATTGTATCACATTTCTTGTTGATATTTTTTTGTCATATGAGCCACGCCATGACAAAACCATTATAGTGCGTTTGCGACCAGTATGGATCCAGACCAGCCTGCGCATCCGCAGTCTGATAGGGATCCATGCTGTTCGCTTACCAACTCTATTACGGATGCGCAGGCTGGTCTGGATCCATGCTGGTCGCAAAACCACTATGTTGCTTTTGTCGTGACGCGGCTCATATATTTCAAAGGTATTTGAAATTCTCATCTGCTCTACATAAATTAGTCTTATTTCTTGCATTATTATATATTATTATAAACCATTTAAGAACAGATAATAAAAATTAGTTTATTGCATTAATATTGCAGTGTTTCATAAGTGTTATATTTATCTGGAAATACCTTTGTACATGTATTGTCAATACTAAAAACATATATTTATATTAATTTTCAGATTTAATTTTTCACTTATATTTCACATATTGGTAATTTGTATGGTGACCGTTTGAACTTAAATGACATTGCTAGGTCTTAACTTTTAGCCTGTTAACTGAATATATCAATGAATCCAAGGCAGACCAAGATCTGTGCCTTTTGATTATGGTCTGCACTGTATGCTATTCAGTCAGTTATTTTAAAATGTTACATAAAAAATGAATTGTTTTGTCCGGAATGAAAGACGGACAAGTTAATTTAAGATATTAAGCAGTTTAAGGGTTTATTTAGTTGTGACATAATTGAGCCACGCCATGAAAAAACCAACGTAATGCGTTTGCGACCAGCATGGATCCAGACCAGCCTGCCAACCGCGCAGACTGATCAGGATCCATGCTGTTCTCTATCAATTTTTCTACTTGTAATAGGGTTTGTAAGCGAACAGCATGGATCCTGATCAGACTGCGCGGATGCGCAGGCTGGTCTGTTTCCATGATGGTCGCAAAAGCATAACGTTGGTTTTGTCATGGTGCGGCTCATATGTATTATAGTTACTTATATTTAAAATCATATTTTATTTTACAGTCTCCAGTGCCTCCCCCAGTAGCTGATGCTACACCAAGACCACATACTGCAATCCCTTCAAGTCACAGGTGGATGAAACATGCAGGTGCTACAGGTAAATTGTTGCTCATTATAATTATGACTTTTTATTGATATGTCTTTCTTGACACATTCATTAGAATATCTATGAACAATTATACTGTATTTGCTGTATGTACGTTTTTATGTCGATTGCTTGTTTTTCAAAGTTTGATTTCAGATAAAAATGAAGACACAATATAGTGAAATTGTCATTTAATACTATTCAAATGTCAACAGGGAAAACATACAAAATGTACAACAAAGTAACATATCAAATGAATGCAATTATCATAAATGCAATTATGCAATAATGTCCAAAAAAATCAGAAACTATAATTATGCATGTATGAAAAAAAAAACAAATGTTGGTTAACCATCAAGATGCCACATATTGCAAACAATTGTGTGGTTTGACATTTTGTTTGCAATAACCGCCAACAACACCTGTTGGCTATTACTATACCGGACTGTAGGCTAACACCACTTTATTTCTTGAATACAATATATAAATATGTCACATCCATAAATGTATTTATTTTTAAAAATAAATGGTAATATATATTATAATAATTTAATTGTTCAAACATAAAAGTATAAATCTCACTACGCCATCATTGTTATTATAGAGTCTGAAGCAGTTAGACGTATACTGTATGGCGGATATCCACCAAGTACAATTCAACCTCTTGGTAGTCTAGGAAACCCAGCCACGTTACTTCAGCGTCGCCAACAAGATGTTGACAATGTACGAAGAGCCAAATTTATAAACAAATATCCCAGAGGAGATTTTCTAATTCACCCAGAATATCCTCCATCTTTCCCACATCATAGGATTGACTAAGTCTAGATTCTAGTCTTATATATTTCAGTATCTAAATTGGAAGATATTATAGTACAGTTTGCAAAATTGACATTAATAATTTTATGAATGCATTCTATGATACAATTCATTCTTTTGCGATTCTGTGCACATTAAACGTTCCATTATTAGCACTTTTTAAAGTTGTTTTACAGCATTTTGCAAGCATTTTTTGTTTTAGAAGAAACTTTTGTTTAATTGAAATCAGTATTAAGAAATGATTTTTTAATTGCATTTAACTTTGAAATTAATACCCGTAGTAATGGTTATATGAATTGTTGACTAGACACTATAAACTTTGATGTTTCAACTTAAAGTAGATAACAAATATCAACTGTTCATTGTTTTGTGTTTCAAATTTTGCTTCATAAGCAATCAGTTGGGTTAGAAAAAAATGTTTTGATGTTGAAAATGTTGCTAAGCAAATGTGTATTCAAAAAAAGTTGTATTTTTTTGTTTTGCTTTATTGTTTAAACAGTATATTAAAAAGACATGTACCATTTATATTTTATATTGGTATATTTATATTAATTTGTTATTGATCAAATACTAATATGTAAAGTGTACACTTGTTAATTTTGTCTTATATTTCTAGACAATTATTTTATATTAAGATATATATAAATATTTATTACTAAATGAATATATTATATAATTGTATCTATTGTACATTGTTTACTGCCCTATTAATGTGTAAAATTTCATTATTATTTTAAGCTTTTACTTTGTTTTGTTATTTTTGCATCCATGTTACCTAGGGGCTTTTTGTTCTTTAGTAATACTGCTTGTTAAGAAGATTTGTGTGTTCACTTAGAATTTCATTTTTTGCTGTTTATATGTGAATGAATTCAGCTTTACAATTATGGGATTCTCTAATTTGATTTTAGAGCTAAAATTAAGAATAATGAATTCATTTCAGTTATTAAGTACAAAAATATTTTTAACATGTTTCAAGTAATAGCAATTGTACTTTACATATTTAAGGTAGTTGTAGAATAAGAATTTCTCAGAAAGATTCAGGAACTGGTGTGATTATTCTTTAACAGATGTGATAGAAATGCTAGATTTTGTCAAAGTGCCTTATATCTTCAGATCTTTACCATTTTAATTTGAAGAAGAAATCATTTTTCAATAGTGGCAGCATTTTTCCTTCCTTAGAATGGATGTGTTTGAAAGTAGAAAATTAGTTTGGAAGTTTGTATGTTGTTTCAGTTTTCTTATTTAATTCAGGTAACATGATCTGATACTTTGTTAAGATACCTTTTTATCATTTTTATTGATAATTTTTATTTGCATTTAATTAGTGAAATGATATACAATATGATGTATGGTATTGAATATTTTATGACATTAGGACTGAATACTTGTTGATATACATACCATAGAAGATAGGATATTTAACACTTCAAATATCATTATACTTTTCATTAGATTCTGGTAAAAATAAAGATAAAATAAGCACTGTGTAAGCTATTAAAATAGAGAAATGAAATAATTTAATTGGAAATATCAACAACATTCATTTAGCTGTCAGTTTTCAACTTTTGTTTCGTTTGAAAAACGGACAGACATTTGTCAGTGACATTTTTTTTCTCAATCTGCCAATATGCCTGAAAGAACTCTCTGAAGAGGTTTAGAAAAAACAAAATCTTGATGACAGATATGTAACTTTAAAGAATTTGTCTCGGATAGTTTATGTACTTTTTCACAATTCTAGCAGTATATTATAAATAATTAATCACTTACATCATAAACAGTGAAATTGTCTTGTTTATGTCATTAGTATGTGTCACATGCATGTACTGTGTCGTCGCATTGGCATTGACTTCTCAATTTTTAATTTCCCTTTAAATAGCAATGTATCAACTGAAATTGAAAGCAGAAATAGTTATTTACATTGATCTATTAATAATAGCATTAAGATAACACATGGTTAGATTTTTTTTACATCTTTTAAATGTTTAACTGTGCCTTATTATGCTCTGTTTTTAAAACAACTCACTTATTGTTACTAAATCATTTAATGATGTTATTGTGATATAAAGGAAATCTCAGCTGTTCATTTACCGATATAGAAAATAATAAAAATATACAAAGAAAAATCATGCTGTTTTAGTAGTTATGTTTGTTTTTGGACACAGAAAAAGTTTTTAAAGTTGTCCTTGACCTTTTAATATGACCTTTGGCCATTTATTTAAAAAAACACAAGGACCAACTTGAATCCGTAAATGTCAGATTATTAGCAATATCAACATAAAAGTGGTGGTGTTGGCAGGCTGTCAAGCAGTTTACCAGTACTAGTTGCTTTCACTTTCGCATGGAACTGATAACTTCTGTACATACCAGAGCAGAGGTACAGTGCAAATGACCATAGAAAAGAGTTTATGATCAATCGCAACGAAAATGACCTGCGCCCGATTCACAGTCCAACGCTCTACCTATTGAGCTAACCGGACGGCTTTCAACATGAAAGTGGAGCACAATCAATACATTATCAAACTTAAATAATGATATTCTGGTGGAGCGACCTTAACCCTCTTGTATATTTATTTTACAAATATTATAAGTTTGATAATGAAATTGCTACATGATATAGCAAAAAACAAATCGGTAGTAGAGCATGGTTTGCCACTTACACTTAAAAACAATAGTATAGTAAATGCTAAGTTAAGCACATCTTAATACTTACCATGCTGGAAGCAAAACTTATTAGCCTTTGCAAATCCAGCTATTATAATTATTTGTACAGCTTGGCCAGACTTATTGTTCGCTTACCAACTTCAAATGAAAAAAAAGATAAAGGACAATTTCAAAAGAAAGAAAATGGAAGCTGGACAAGTTCATTTAACCCTTGAAGTGCTTGAATTGTATAATGAATTTGTACTACTTTGAATTCATCACAGTCTACTCGGCGTTTAAGGGATTTCATTTCTTGAGCTCCTAGCAGCATTGTGCCTGGTCAGACTACATCGGGCTGCGGGCCAGGTAGCCTGGCTCTTTTTATGTGGCAAAAGCTAATCACTTTCGGTCCGAGAAAGTTATGGTTAAAGTAAGTCAACACGTTAATGCTTGTTCCCTAGCCAAGTATAATCCACCATAAAGAGTGGCGGCATGGCCGACGGAAAAATAATTGCTGACCGCGTGGGGCAAGCCTTTGTTTCCTTGAGCAAGAAACTTTACATTCATTGCTTAGCGCTGGTTGGTTCCAGGAACCGTTTCGATAGTGCTTTAATAAGCCTATAGCTTCCAACAAATTCGAACTAAAATAAATTTGTATAAACTAAATATAACCTTGGATAAGCCATATATTGTACTAAAGGGAAATAGTTAATTGAAAGTAGTAATTTTAGAACACTCATCTTCTTAATATACATGTATAACATGCTTGATAGTAGTGACAATGGCCGCAGAAACAATAATATTAATAAAACTATATGTTGTCAGTTGATAATAGATCTAAAACATGGAGGTTAATATTTTACCGGGTGTGGGAACATTACTCTCAAGTCAGTATTTTTAAGGAATCTGCTCATTTTCCCTATCAAATAAAAAAAACCGGGGTCAATAGTACTAGTTTAAATTATCACACACGTATAATTTTTCAATATAAACCTTATCATACGAACCTTATATTATGATTTCTTATAGATATTTTTACAGAATTTTTAAAATTTACTATATACTTTATAGCATGAAAAACAGTTGTTTTGAATAAACGTAATACTTAAAACAGGAACATGACTTAAAATCGCTATTATTATTTTCTGATTATTGTTGTCGATACTGTACATGTGACATAATTGGGAGTGACTTTTTGGGACACATTGCATGTTATTGCATTTGGCCCCGTGATACGTTTTGCCCAGTCTCCCATATTTACTTTTACAATACAAATAAGAAACAGCACTTAACACCTTAATTACATTTTTAGCTCGACTTTTCTATGAAAAGGGGAGCTATCCTACTCGCCCCGGCGTCGGCGTCGGCGTTGGCGTCACACCTTGGTTAAGTTTTTCGTACCACCCCACTTTATTTCAGAAGTATTACAAGTATGGCTTTGAAACTTACCATACTTGTTCACCATCATAACCTCCATCTTACAGACAAGAGTACATAACTCTGTCAAGGTTTTTTGACAGAATTATGGCCCTTTTTTGACTTAGAAAGTGTATTGAGCTTGGTTAAGTTTTTTTGTACACCTCACTTTATTTCAAAACCATTGGAGGTATTGCTTTGAAACTGACCATACTTGTTTACCATCACGACCTTCATCAACAGACAAGAGGACATAACTCTGTCAAGGTTTTTGACAGAATTATGCCCCTTTTTGACTTAGAAAATACATTGAATATGGGTAAAATCCACTTATTGCCTTAACCCTTTGAGATATATTGCTTTGAAACTTTTAATGCTATTTCACATCATTACCCCCATCTGTACGCAAGAGAAGGTAACTCTGTCAAGGATTTGTTTTGAAAAATTAAGGCCTTTTATCGACTTAGAATCTTGGTTAAGTTTTTAGTACCAGTCCACTTTTTGACTGAACTGTTTGAGATATTAATTTGAAAGTTGGAATACTTGTTTACAATCATGATTCCCAAACATGTCCAGGAGAAGGTAATTCTGTCAAAGATTTTATTTGAATTATGGCCCTTAACTGTCAATGTTTTGTATTATAGGCAAGCACTAAAAAACTTAAAAAATCTAAAAAAATTCATTCCTATCCACTGAACCTGCAGTGTTCAAGGGTATCACACAATTCAGTAAAATAATTCTTCACTAAATATCTTAATGCTCATGGCCATTGTTCACTTTAAAAATACAGAGATTCTTGTATTGCCTTTTACTGCAAAAACTTTTTTTATTGGCAAGCAATAAAAAAGTCGAGCGCGCTGTCTTACGGACAGCTCTTGTTTAACTTTATTGAAAGCCTTTCCACCGAATTATAAAATAAAACGTCAGAATAGTTTTTTTTTAATTTTTATTAAAGTATTCTTTAATTTGATACATGTTGTTTATTTGTCTTTTTTGATGTTTATTTTACAGTGAAACAACATTCATGTACATGTATGTACAAAGCGGTATCAAATGATCACACCCCTGTGAAAACATTAACTACATGTAATTCTTGTTGGTACTGGTGTTTTCGATCATATTGGTGTTTTATACGACGTTGTTAAATACACGCCATCTCGGTACAGCCAACGGTCCCATCGGCAGAGCACGTGCACCCGTTACAGTTGTCCGAGTCCATAAACTGTTCCCCGGCCCCGTATTTCTTCCCGTTGTACGTGCATACTACAATGATCAAATTGATTGTCAAAGATAAAATTAAATAAAAATTCCATTTTTGTTTTTCGTAAATATTAAGCCTGACATATTAAGCCATGTTCAGTTATATAAAGGTTGTGAAAGCGCCGGTCAATCTAGAACGAAAATAGGCGCTGCTGAAGCCCGAACTGCAGAATAATAACAGTAAATTGAAAACAAAACTTGAAGCTGTTAGATTAAAAAAAGCAGCTGTCGGAAACATATAATTAGTGTTAGATTGATGTAAAAATGTCACCGTATGTACTTGTACATTCGAACGTTTGTTTGTTTGTTTTTGTTTTTTTTTTCTTATAAAAAGACTGTTGTTTTTTAAAAAAATATGCAAACCTTTAGGTGGACATCCTTTTCTGGTACACAACCCTTTTCCACCTTTTCCACATTTACATCTGTTGCAGTCATCTAGATATCTCTCACCTTCCTTGTATTTGATACCATTGTGGACACATACTGTTGAAATACAGTCAAACCATGTCAATAGCATAGGTCTATAAAGTGATGCTCATTACGTAATGTGCATCAAAATGCATGTATAGTGCAGGTACCATTTTATAAAAGACACTCTCGTACGATATTTAAAGGCTTCCGTTAGGTTTGACAATCATCGTAGTGTTATTGCCAAAAAATATCAGCATATCTGATAAATGTCATGTAAAAAGATAAATTCTATCTGTGTCTCTGCTTAGACATACATAAATATCTTCATTTTCCCTGTCGCTACTGTAAGGAGCGCAAATGTATGTATGGTTGGAATAAGTGTATTAAGACGATAACAATTATTCAAAAGGGGAAAAAATATCTGTCTTCAGTTTTAAATTTTACATTATATTAAAAACTATATTTTTGATTGAAAAAAAAACGGTATGATTAACCGCAAAATCAAATTTTGTTCTTTTATTGGTGTTAAATAAAAAAAACTGTTTTAATTGCATACAGACAAGGGAACTTCTGACACGGCACCAACAAATGTTGTTTTTGTTGTTGACTTGGGTCATTGCAGAATCGTTATATGTTAATCAACACCCGTAAATTTAATTTAAAGGTCCAAAATTTAAAGGAAATAAAATACGGCTGTAAAAGATAAAAATCACAATAGTCATAACGACACGACATCATACAGTTATTCTATAACAACGATTATTACATAATAAATTCATAATTAAATGAAGCGTTCATGATCTTCACTCCTGTCTTATAAACATATGGTGATTTTTTAAGCAAAGACACGGCATAATTATGTAATGCAAAAACAAGAACATTTATTTGATTGGTCGTAGGATATCTTCGCGTTATTGCGCCGTCGTTTCGCATTTTCGCATTGAGACTGCGAAAATGCGGAAAAGCGTTTCAAGATAGAACAAACTGTAGCTTAGTGTTTTCACATTTTCGTGACGAAAATCGAAAATACGACATGACGTAAATAAGCCATCATAAATACATCGTTATATAAAAAATCTTAAATTTCCGGTAATTGTGGAAAACCATCCGCAGAAATTGTGATTAATTTAAACTGTTATTGAGGTCCCTTTTCTACAGACAAAATGATGTTATACTGAACTGGTATATCAGAATTTTTGTGACATATTATTTATGTCTTTATCTCGGCTTTTCACTTGAATTTTGTGCAGAATGTAAACTGAGACCGCCCAGGGATCTTACCTGACTGTACGTATGCAATGGTCAAAACAAGAACCAGGGCGCATATAACAAACTGTCTCATCTTGATCTGTAAAAAGGTAAAATACAATTTTCTAAAACATGTAATGATACAATTTCAATTTCAAAAATAACTGAAAGACCATACAATAGAAATATATTTTCATATTGAACATTTATGTTTATTTTAACGTTTGACGTGCGGTTAGGTTACGACGACGATGATGATGATGATAATATTTAAAATAATGATAAACTTCAATATTTTAATTTTAATTTACGGCGATATCGGAAATGTTTAATAGATAGATAAATGATACAAGTAGACGAGTTTTAAAAGCATGAAGAGGTGATAAGCCCACATTATATGAAATATTTTAATGAAGTTTGACAAAATTCACGAGAATTTCAAACACGAAAATAGCTAACCTTGTAAATATGTTTAATCTTAATGTTAAATATTCAATAATTGAATCTATATATAGAATGTATACAGTATTTCATTGATGAAAAAAAGAAACAACAACAACAAAAAACAACAATAAAAAACAATAACAAAAAACTTACATTTTTCCTTGACTGTTCAGGTAACACTGAATGACTTGCGTGAGCCCAGTGCTAAATCTATATATACATGCATATTAAACATGTGTTGATTATATCCTTCAGCAATCCATGACTTGCCATAACCCTAAAAAATCACATTTGTCATAGCAACATGTTATTCTGATTTATGAAACGTCTGTATTTAATATCAAACTAATTTAGAAATGGAACCAGATGGCTGCCCGTAAATTCATATACATACCAAAATTAAAGTAACAGTGGTCATGTTTACCTTTATATATTTATATGACCATTTGACAAAAACAAACATATACAAATTATAAAAAATAAAAGATAAACTTTTGACATGTCATGACCGGCATTCAAAATTTCCAGAAATTGATGTATACATTTTAACATTTTACAAGCAAAGTCACTCACCTTTATAAGTGCACACCAGATCATGATAAAGAACATGCTATTTTAGTCAGAAGTGTTGTCTTGTTCATTTCATCAATTACAAATTAATAGCCCCATTCACAGACCCTCGGGGGTCAGATCCTGTCCCCAACGTGATACGATCATGTAAACACTCTATCAACTAGAACTGTGTCCAAAGGACACGGATGCCCCCACTGACAACATATATATGGTATATAGTGAAAAAATCAACAAAGGGCCATAATTCTGTTAAATTTGGTTGCAGCAAAAATTCCTTTCTTAACTGCCATCTACACATTAAGGTTGTTCATCCCTGGAAGTTTAAGCAAAATCTACCATCTGGTTTAAGAGGAGTTGCGTTCACAAAATTTCTACATATTATATAGTGAAAAAATCAACAAAGGGCCATAATTCTGTTAAGTTTGGTCGCAGCAAAAATTTCTTCCTTTACTACCATCTACATATTAAGGTTGTTCATCCCTGGAAGTTTAAGCAAATTCTGCCATCCGGTTTAAGAGGAGTTGCGTTCACAAAATTTCTATATGGTATATAGTGAAAAAATCAACAAAGGGCCATAATTCTGTTAAATTTGGTCGCAGCAAAAATTCCTTCCTTTACTACCATTCATACAATTAAGGTTGTTCATCCCTGAAAGTTTAAGCAAAATCTACCATCTGGTTTAAGAGGAGTTGCGTTCACAAAATTTCTACATAGTATATAGTGAAAAAATCAACAAAGGGCCATAATTCTGTTAAATTTGGTCGCAGCGAAAATTCCTTCCTTTACTACCATCTACATATTAAGGTTGTTCATCTCTGAAAGTTTAAGCGAAATCTGCCATCTGGTTTAAGAGGAGTTGCGTTCACAAGATTTCGGGACGTACGGGCAGACGGACGTACAGACGTACGGACGGACGGACAGACGGACGGACAAGTGCAACGCTATATGCTCCCACTCTGTGGGGGCATAAAAAGTCCATGTAGCATGAAACATTTTATTTGCCATATTTCTGATGTTACACGGACTGTAAAACATACTATTTGTCATATATCAAATGTACCATGTGGCAAGAGACATGCTATGCCTTTTATCCAACGTTCTATGTACCATGAAACATATGTTTTTTGTCACATTTTTGATGTTCCATATAGAACATATTAGTGTCCAACTTTATTTGTCATCCAATGAAAACGCTGTATTTCTTAAAAATTGTGTGCGTTAATTTTCATAGAAGTACAAAAACCGATACTATATCGAATTCAGTCCATAGTCGACTTCTATTTTTCATAGTACTTCATAAAACCGCATAGTGACGTAGTAAAGTAAACGATAATGAGGCCAAATAAAGCTTGACACTAAACATGTTAGTATTCATCCGTGCTGTTCTACAGAAATTAGAAACATTCTCCTGTCGCTATCGCTCCCGTCGAAGTTTCTAATTTCTGTAGAACAGCACGGATGAACACTAACATATACTTATCATATTATCAGATGCTATATGTAACATGAAATTTTTATATTGCTTGCTTGTATCAGGGACTTTCCGTTAAAATATTTTCTAACTGAAGAACTTTGTTTGTATAAAAATTTATGAAACTAATTCAACAGTCAGTCCACCTACAGTTACAGCAGAATTCCATGTAGAAATATTTGATTAATGTATTTTAAGTAGTACATTTTTCCTTTTGTCTGGGATATAAACTAACCATATAACTTTTTGATTTTGTGCCCCACTTTAGGGGGCGGGTGGTCAGGCATTTAGAATTACCCTGTCCGTCCGTCCGTCCATCCGTCCTTCCGTCCGTTCTTTTTTGTGTCGCATGTAGCTCAAAATGTATTTGACCTAGTCATGAAAAATTACAGGAATGTTGATCAGCATGTATAGTTGTGCACCTTTGTATTTAGAATTTTTAGAATTATTGCTCTTTACTTAGTAAAAATTTGCAATTTTCAACTTATGTCGCACGTAATTCAAAAAGTATTTGACCTAGAGTTGTGAAACTTTACAGAAATGTTGATCAGCATGTGCAGTTGTGCACCTGGGTATTTTCGAGTGGATTTATTTAGTATTTTGTAGAGTTATTGCCTTGACCTAGCAAAAATTTGCACTTTTCAACTTGTGCCGCAAGTAACTCAAAAAAATATTTGACCTAGAGACATGAAACTTTACAGGAATGTTTATCAGCATGTGTAGTTGTGCACCTGGTTATTTTCGTGTGGATATATTTAGCAGTAATGAAGTTATTGCCCATGATTTAGTAAAAATTTGCAATTTTCAACTTGTGACGCACGTAACTCAAAAAGTATTTGATCTAGAGTCATGAAACTTTACAGGAAATATGATCAGCATGTGGAGTTGTGAACCTGGGGTTTCGCTGATGGATTTATTCTTTTTTGTCAGAGTTATTGCCCTTGGCTTATTGCCCTGACAGTTGGTGACCTTAATGTTGTTTTTTTAATATTAATTCTGCTATTCGATTTTGTAACAAGTGTACTTTTTAATGTTGATTTTGTCATCTCTATCCTAAAGAGTGCAACTCTAGTCAAATATTGGACGAATACATGTATCCTTGTAAAATAAAATGTTCAAATCATCAGCAAGAAAAAATAAGTATGAGAAAAGAAAGAGAATAATGTTCACAACCTCTTATTTAGGAGTTAAGTGTTTTAATAATTACACTAGCAAATTTGTACATCTTTACCGAGTATTTTTAAGGAAGATATATCGAAGCGACGCACATTTAAATGCAAGAGCTGGTTAAATTCTAATGTTTGTACACGAAGGTACGAAGGGTCTTATGACAGAATCAAATGCATCATTCAGGTTCCTTCAAATCTGAAAGACCCTGAATGCGTAATTGAAGAAATGTTAAGTTAATTAATAGAATTCACCATTGCATTGGGTATTCATTAAACAAACTTTTCTAAACAAACGGTAAATCATTTAGATTGCATCAAATTGTTTACGTAGTAACTGTTGTTGAGTAATGATGAATTGTATTCTTACGTTATTGTTGTTGCCCTACGCAGAATGCACTTGCGAGATTTCATTTCTTCGTTTTGAATTTTTCATTCATTATTCTGTAAATGTCCTCAAAATGAATATACTAGGCAGTCACAGGAACAAATCTTTTCTCATTATAAAGTATTTAATGACGGTTTTCTAACTTGACCCACGTAGTCATGTTAGAGCGTTAAGATTTCACAATAGTTGTCACAGTGAACTTTGGAAACGTTAAAGAACATGTCAAATGAATGACTTAGACTTGTTTTAATCTTACAATATCCACAGTATCTGTTATTGTAACTTCCAGGATTTGTTCAAGTCACAAAACTTGTTTGAAGACTACCCGGTGATTCTGTCAGCTTCTAAATTTCATTCAACATATATTTAAATATATTTGAATTCATAAGATCAATTTAATATTTTTGTCATTAATTTGCCTGAGTATCCCTCTCAGCATATTTATTTATGCTCGATTACGAATAAAGTTCTTGCAACTTATATTTATCACTTTCGAGTCAGCTTCCTGGAACCAACCAGTCGAGGTGTCATATGAAGAAACATGGCTATGACCTGATTAATGCTGGAACCAATGATCCCTGGGTTGAGAGGCAGATACCTTAACCACTAGGCCGTCCCTAGGACCCTAGGAGTTTTTATCGGTAATACTATGGTGGAAAAATATCTGAAACTAATTCACCTTGACGAACAATTATAATAAATCCGAATCCGAATTATCTTGAACAGGACTGGTTTGTAGCACAATATAATAACAGTAACTAGCCAAACATTTACTTAAAACTTGTTTTACTATATAAATTTTGTAGCGTAGGTTTGATCGGAATATCATATTCATTCTGCATATTTACATTCAATGTCTTATCCGAAGTTTGACTGAAAAGGGCGAATAATTGACGTTATTAATCTTGCAGGTAATTTGCAAGAATAGATTAATCGGACTTCAGTGGCTAGTTCAGCTCCCGAATTAATGAAGTGTTAGGCGAAAAAAACCCGGTGCCAGAATAAATATTAATGTTCCCCTGTCTATTCTTCTTAAATAGAACATAAAAATATAAAACATAAGAATTTTTATTTCAAAGTTTACATAATAGACGAAAAGACAAGTGACTAAGTATTGAGTATATCCAGAACCCTTCCTCATTTAAATTCTTGATAACTATACTGTAGCATTGTCATGATGCATTCTCTGTTTTGCCATACAATGTATTTAAGCGACTGTAATAAAAACAAACAAAATCCTGATTTCAGTCAAGGAAAGTATGTCATTCCACTTATAATAATAAAATCTACAGTTTATGATCCGGGTATAACTTTAAGTGATTCTCCAAACCTTTAGAGACAGAAAATATCGCCCGACATGCACCACATGTAACCGATTCCGTAACAGTTTCTTCGTTGTAAACACTGTAATGTTTGGAGTCCACTTGCGTTGATTCTCCATACGGGTTTGTCATGTTCTCTTTACTCCTCGGTTTATCTTGATATTTACTGACAGAGTTATTGATCATTTCATGATTGTTACATTCGTGATTCTGAAGTTCTTTCTCTGTACGGAAACCATGGTTACACTCTATGCACAAATAGTCACTACATCCGTTGTTTGCTTCTTTATCAAGCATAATAACTTCGTCGTCCGAAAGGTCA